ACCCCCCTAGTGACGCCACTGTAGCCCTCTCCTCTGCTGGGAGTGTCTAATTAATCTCTGTGCTGCTCCAGATACTGTGCGCTATCCCTCTTGCTGTCATGGACACACCACCTGGGGTAGTGACATCACACAGGCCTGTGATCACAGTATTGCTACACTGAACGGCGTCATAGGTTATTACATGAACCCCACACAGTGCTGCTGCCATCAGACAAAAAAGGGAATGACCCATGATGTCACCAGCTGGAAAACAGTTGGAAGCTTAAAAAAAAAAAAGAAGTGGGGGAGGAGGAGCTGGATGCCGGGGGCTTAAGATGTGCTTTAAAGCGGACCTTTACCCCCTTTCACTATAGCTTTGCATGCTAATCTTACATTCAGCAAGACAATTACTGTTTTTCCACTTCCTGGTCCTTGGACATTAGTGATGTAATCTGTGCCCAAACATTGCATCTTGGGAAGGTTACATCCGCAGTGCATTGCTGGGAAATCTCATCTGTCATGTCACAAGGTATCAGGGAAAGGCATTTTCTTCCCCAGAGATGCTGTGGATGGTCACATGACCTAGTCACATGTGCCAGAGTTCCAGGAAGTAAAGGGAGATGGATTAATCTGCCCTTAGTAAAAATGGCCACTGTGAGAAGAATGGGGAGGAAAAGAAAAATAAGATATGCAAAGAATACAAAGCCAGCAATTATCTAGAAGTATGTGTTTGTAGATTATCATTACTCAACATTTCTAAAGATGTGTTTGTTGTCATTTCAAAGATAAGAGTGAAGTTCCTCTTCAAGGTTAAAGTGACACTAAATTCAGGAGTTAAATCCTAAAAATACATACAAGTACCTTAACTATTAACAAAAATGTATCTTATTTGTGTATCACTCGGCTGTAGATCCTCCAATAATCTCTGAATTGGTGCTGACACTGTCCTTCCTTCTGGAGGGGGGCTACGTGTGTTCCCAATGGTCCCTGTGTGTGTTGTAAAGTAGTCACCGCTCCAAGCTCACTCCTGTGATGGACTACAATCTCAATACAAATTAGTAAACTAAACATGAGATTGTAGTCCATCCCGGGAGTGATCTTGGAGCGGTGACTACTTTACAACACACACAGGGACCATGGGGAATCAAGGTAGTCATCCTCCAGAAGGAAGGACAGTGTCAGCACCAATTCAGATATGATTGGAGGATCTACAGCCGAGAGTTGGATTGTTTTAGACAGATTTGTTAATGTCTCATGCCTCTGCCATTCCGATTGGATTGTGCAAAATGCCTGGCGGTTGGCAGCTATCTTGCGTCCGCCGATCACCCTTCCGCAAACCTCAGAAGCAGCTGTGTTCTGTCATCTAGTAATAATGACTTCGATTTGATTATTGTCCTCATTGTGGAAAATATGGAACTGATTACTAGAATATTGAAATTAATCAGAGCCATGTTATTGTTTTTTTCCTGAATCTTCCAGCAGAGAACACAGTGTCTCTTCCTCTCTCTCATTGTCCTCTTATAACCTGCACGGAGCGGAGTTAACATACAGCGTTCCCAGCAGTGACCTGGGAACACCCCCGTCCATCGCTCATTGCTCAACTGAAATGTGTTTTTTCTTTTTCCCTCTGTCCTTCAAACTGGTATTGTAAACAGTTTGGTATAAAATGTTCTCTATGGCATGGAGCTCACTTCATACAGCTGGGTGATTCCAGGTGACTTCCTGTCTGTCTGAATTCCAGGCGTGACTGCTTGCACAATCCTATACAAGGCTGCTGCTTGCTTTCTCTGCATCCAGCATGGCTTGTAGCATAAAGTCATTGTTCACATTTAGAAGCTCTGTTTGTGTTTTACATAGCTGGAGTTTTTAAAAAGAACCGGCAGATCTTTTACGTAGATCAAAGACGCTTTAACAATGTCATTTTAAAAGTAATTTTCAATATATGAAAACCTGCAGGTTTTATTAAAGCTCATCTGCAGTGGGGGAAAAAACTCCCCTGGCGGTCAGGGCCGGATTTCCCACAAGGCCCGGCCTAGGGGCAGCAGGGAGTAGAGGGGCAGCAGGGGTGTGGAATTCATACCTCCCGATGCCCGAAACATGCAGTTCTGGGTGCCGGGCGGGTATTTGTTTTCTACATTTAGTCCTGCTTTGGGCAAGCAGGGAAGCCACCGCTTGTTTTGTATGCAGCCTGCAGTTAGCTGCTCATTTTTGTCTAGGGGAGCTGTGTAAATAATTTTTACTTACCTGATCATCTGCTCCTTCTGGCCCCAAGACCCCCCCAATGGTCGGAGACCTGCTGATGTTATCAAGTACAATGCAGGGCCCATAGTCCTGGCTTGTTGAGGGATAGTCAACAAATCAGAGTGTTTGAAGGATGAGGTGTCGGGGTAGCAGGGATTAGGGAAGTAAAATTCATCTACACAGCACACCCAGATATTAACAAGCAATTAAACCTTGCAGCGTGGGGTTAGCTTCACCACAAAGGGAGTTGTTTTTCCCTCCCCAAGATGGGCACTGAACTAATCCCTGGTGATCCTGCCATGCAGGTCCTTGTTCAGGCACTTCCTCTTATAAGGTGACGATGTTCTGTGACTGTCCCTGTCTACCAGTGGTGCAGTGTCTCTGCTTGGGCAGCTCCTAAATACAAAAGGGCCTTGAGAGGAGCCGAGGCTTTTGGGTATTTGTACAGTGCCACCTTCCTCAGGGCCTGAGATGCTGTTTAAGCTGAAAGATTGGCGAGTTCAGAGGACTGTGGATGGTTCAGGGGTAGAGATCACTCCTTCTTCTGAAGATGACTTCTAGGGGAGCTGTGTAAAGAACTTTTACTTACCTGATCCCTTCCACTGGCTCCAAGACCAGCACTCACAGTCTCTTCCACCCTACGCTCCGGCGATCGGAGACCTGCTGGCGTTGTCATGTACAATCCAGGGCCCATAGCCCTGGATTGTTGACGGACAGTCACCAAGTCGGAGTGTATGAGGGATGATGTGTCGGGGTAGCAGGGATCAGGTAAGTAAAAGTCCTTTACACAGCACCCTAGATATTACCAAGCAGTTAACCCTTGCAGCGTGGGGTTAGCTCCACCGCAAGGGGAGTTTTATCCTTCCCCGGAGATTGGCTTCAAACTAATCCCTGGTGATCCAGCCTTGTAGGTCCTTGTTCAGGCACCTCATCTTATAGGTTGACAGTGCTCTGTCTACCAGTTGTGCTCCTGCGTTGTCATCCTGTCACAGGGCCTTCCCGTGGCTACTTCCACACACATTAGGCAGGAATGGTCCACTGTTGTCGCCGTACAGTAAAAAATATTTACTATACAAATACAGTACTTGGGCAAACTAAATATCCAGTTGGGGTTTAGATGTACTTTAAACTACATTTCTGTAATTATGGCCTTATTGACCGTTCAGTTTAAATCGGCTAAATACATTCCAGATGCACCAAAACAAAAGGTTTGTTTGCTTCAAGAAGCAGCCACAGCCCGTGTAGAACAGCCTGTGCTCTGCCAGCATGCTTCAGAGAAAAACCCTTGCTCTCTGTGTGGAAGCAACAATCTTTCTGATTCAGAAGAGGGCACGTCCAACCTATGCAGAGAGGTCATTGCTTCTATACAGAGAGCAAGGGTCCTCCTCTACAGTATGTTGGCAAGCCTTTCTACTCAGGATGTGCCCGCTTTCTAAAGAAAACTAACTGAAAGACTTTGCACATCTTATGTTTTCATGTACCTGGAATTTATTCAGCTGATTTGAACTGAACGTTTGGCTAGGCTTTAAGGGGTATGGTGGAGCAAGGTAGGTGTAATATGTATGTAAATTCACTTTAATCTACTAACTGACATATCCGTCTGGATGTCACAACATTTCTTAAAACTCAACCTTTCAAAAACTGAGCTCATTATATTTCCCCCCCCCCCGGGCACCTTCCCCCCACTTTTCCCTTGAGATTGTTAACACAACTATCCAACCCTCCCCCCCATGACAAGGTGCTGGGTGTCATCCTTGACTCGGACCTCACCTTTCTTCCCCACATCCAATCCCTATCCAAATCCTGACGTCTTCACCTCCGTAACATCTCCAAAATACTCCCCTTCCTCACCAATGAAACCGCAAAATTACTCATCCACTCACATGTTATCTCTCGTCTCGACTATTGTAACTCTCTCATCATTGGCCCACCACTGCACTGGCTCCTCCCCCCTTCAGTCTATCATGCATGCAGTTGCTAGACTCATTCACCTAACCAACCGCTCAGTGTCTGCAACCTACCTCTGCCGATCCCTGCACTGTATTCCATGCCCTGACCCCCTCTGCCAATCCCTACACTGGCTTCCAAAGGATAGAATTCAAAGTATTAACAACCACCTACAAAGCCATCCACAACTCTGCCCCCCGATATATCTCAGACCTTGTCTCAAAGTATCACCCTAACCATCTCCTCCGCTCTTCCAAATACCTCCTGCTTTCCAGCTCCCTCGTCAACTCCTCCCATGCTCGCCTCCAGGACTTCACTAGAGTCTCTCCCATCCTCTGGAACTCTGACTACCTTTAGGCGATCCCTTAAGACTCATTTCTTCAGGGAAGCCTATCCCACCTCAACCTAACCACTCAACCATCACGTTCTCAAACAATTCATCCCCACACAGCTACCTCCTCATGTATCACTGGCCCCTCCCTTTTAGATTGTAAGCCCTCGGGCAGGGCCCTCCTTACCATCTTGTCTTGATTTGTATTGTATTTGTAATGTCTTCCTTATATTGTAAAGCGCTGTGCAAACTGTTGGCGCTTTATAAATCCTGTATAATAATAATAATAACTCTTATGCCTCTTTCATCTATCAGATAACAGTAACCACTCCAAAGATCTTTTAGTGGCTGGTTAGTCTGAGAATTCCCATGGCCCTCTAAGGGTCTGACACCAATTATACACACTCATCTCCCCTAGTCTTTTCTTCATGACTTTGTCTTGTATACAATGTTTTTTTTTCGCTTGGCAATGTGTCATGTTAATGTCTCTGTTTCTTTTCAGTTGACCTTCCTCTGTATTTCCCGCGGGATCAGCCCACCCTGACATTTCAGTCTGTCTACCACTTCACAAACAGTGGACAACTCTACTCCCAGACCCAGAAGAGCTACCCATACAGCCCGCGCTGGGACGGGAATGAGATGGCCAAGAGAGCCAAGTAAGACTGTGACTACTTCCATATTGTTCTGATCATTGTCTCTGAGGGTCCCATAAATGTTCAGTATTCAGGGAAGAATGGCCATTGGGGTATAAGTCAGAATTTTTTTTAGCTCTGTCTAGCAGTCACATTTACAATGCAATATCAGCATGAAAGAATATTTGGGGGTACTTGTCAGAATTCACCAAATGGTTTAAATCAGTTCTGTCCAACTGGGGACAATAGACACAATGCAGAGTGTCAGTGGGGTGCCAAATGCTGGAATGCTTTCACAGCTCTTGAATTACACTTCTTCTGCCTGTCCGATGAAGTGATCTGCTACCCACCGGGGACAGTGTAGTTCCGATCTGACGTCCTCATTGAGGATTGCTAGACTCATTCACCTAACCAACCGCTCAGTGTCTGCAACCTACCTCTGCCGATCCCTGCACTGTATTCCATGCCCTGACCCCCTCTGCCAATCCCTACACTGGCTTCCAAAGGATAGAATTCAAAGTATTAACAACCACCTACAAAGCCATCCACAACTCTGCCCCCCGATATATCTCAGACCTTGTCTCAAAGTATCACCCTAACCATCTCCTCCGCTCTTCCAAATACCTCCTGCTTTCCAGCTCCCTCGTCAACTCCTCCCATGCTCGCCTCCAGGACTTCACTAGAGTCTCTCCCATCCTCTGGAACTCTGACTACCTTTAGGCGATCCCTTAAGACTCATTTCTTCAGGGAAGCCTATCCCACCTCAACCTAACCACTCAACCATCACGTTCTCAAACAATTCATCCCCACACAGCTACCTCCTCATGTATCACTGGCCCCTCCCTTTTAGATTGTAAGCCCTCGGGCAGGGCCCTCCTTACCATCTTGTCTTGATTTGTATTGTATTTGTAATGTCTTCCTTATATTGTAAAGCGCTGTGCAAACTGTTGGCGCTTTATAAATCCTGTATAATAATAATAATAACTCTTATGCCTCTTTCATCTATCAGATAACAGTAACCACTCCAAAGATCTTTTAGTGGCTGGTTAGTCTGAGAATTCCCATGGCCCTCTAAGGGTCTGACACCAATTATACACACTCATCTCCCCTAGTCTTTTCTTCATGACTTTGTCTTGTATACAATGTTTTTTTTTCGCTTGGCAATGTGTCATGTTAATGTCTCTGTTTCTTTTCAGTTGACCTTCCTCTGTATTTCCCGCGGGATCAGCCCACCCTGACATTTCAGTCTGTCTACCACTTCACAAACAGTGGACAACTCTACTCCCAGACCCAGAAGAGCTACCCATACAGCCCGCGCTGGGACGGGAATGAGATGGCCAAGAGAGCCAAGTAAGACTGTGACTACTTCCATATTGTTCTGATCATTGTCTCTGAGGGTCCCATAAATGTTCAGTATTCAGGGAAGAATGGCCATTGGGGTATAAGTCAGAATTTTTTTTAGCTCTGTCTAGCAGTCACATTTACAATGCAATATCAGCATGAAAGAATATTTGGGGGTACTTGTCAGAATTCACCAAATGGTTTAAATCAGTTCTGTCCAACTGGGGACAATAGACACAATGCAGAGTGTCAGTGGGGTGCCAAATGCTGGAATGCTTTCACAGCTCTTGAATTACACTTCTTCTGCCTGTCCGATGAAGTGATCTGCTACCCACCGGGGACAGTGTAGTTCCGATCTGACGTCCTCATTGAGGAAATATGCATGTTTTTTCCTGTTTTATTACAATACTTATGGCCGTCGCCATTTTGCTTTTCATCCCACCTGAGAAAAGACAGTTGACTTCCTGTGCCTACCTAGACATTTCTGTTCTGTAGTTTCATAGCTGTACATGTGCAGTGTGAGATCATCTGAGGCGCTGCTGCCTCGTTCTGCAAATTTCGCCAGATTCAGTGTGAGATTTGGTGATGTCACTTCTGTGCGGCTCGCGGGAGAGGAAGCTGTATCTGAGGATGTGCAGTGCAAGGATCTGCCTGCTTCAGCTTCATTTTAATTGCTGTCTATGATCCCCCTGGACATTTTTGCCCTCACTTTCTGTAACCAAGACTGGACAGGAAATGTGAGGAATCTCCCCAAATCTGAAGACATTACATTTTAACATGTTTGGATGTTAATAAGACAAAACATTTAATCCCAGCTGCAAAGCAAAGATGCTAAGCCAGGGGTGCCCACAATTTTTGTGTTAAGATCTACTTTTCAAATGACGAGCTACATGAGATCTACCAACGAAAGAAAAACTCCCTTGCTCTCTCTCCTGGCTGCCTCTCCTGGGTGTCTCTCCTTGTTCTATCTCTCCGGGCTTTCATTCCTCGTTTTTTCTCTTGGCTGTCTCTCTTCGCTCTCTTGGCAGTCTCTCCTTGCTCTCTCCCCTGTCTGTCTCTCCTCTCTCTATCTCTTTCCTGGCTGTCTCTCCTCCCTCTCTCCCCTGTATGTCTCTCCTCTCTCTCTCTTTCCTGGCTGTCTCTCCTTGCTCTCTCTCTCTCCTGGCTGTCTCTCCTTGCTCTCTCCTGTAGCTGTCTTTCCTCTCTCTCCTGTCTGCCTCTCCTGGCTCACCTTGCTGTATTTTGCAAACAGTGTAGTGCAACAGGCTGTGTAAGCTAATATCCTTAGATGTAATACATAGCAGCACTTCAACCACCAATATCCACCAGAAAGATGTCAGGGAGCTTGGCTCAGCAGACTTAGGCTAATAGGTAATCATGTGTGCACAACTAAATAAATATACCACAATGAAATAAAGGGGCCGCCATTCACACCCTTCGTTATCTACCAGCATCAGCTTTAAGAGCTACTGCTAGATCACGATCTACCTAATGGGCACCCCTGTGCTAAGCTATCCAATGCAACGCTGGCCATAATAAAAATCAAGGAGGGTTTTGATGGGAGAAGCTGGATCCTTTGTAAGTTAAATTTTAATGACGAAGCCTACAGTATATTGTGCACTGCAGTAGCTCTGTTTAGGCAGCTCTTGAATACGAAAGGGCCTTGAGAGGAACCAAGGCGTTTCAGGTATTTGTACAGTGCTGCTTTCCTCAAGGCCTGAGATTATGTATGGGCTGAACGATTGGCAAGTTCAGAGGACTGTGGATGGTTCAGGTGTAGAGATCACTCATTCCGAAGATGATTTCTGCAGCTCGTTACCAACTCCACAACCAATTGCAGAAGCCTGCTTCAGAAGAAGGAACAATCAATACACCCGAATAATGCAGTTTCTGCAAGTCCACCCATCTTTCATCTGAAGCCACAATGATAAGGGTGCTGTAGAAACCACCAAAACACTTTGGCATTCTTATCCTGGATTTAATGAAGTGAAAACTTCTGAACTCTAAAAGCATTGTGGTTCCCTTGTCTTTTCCAAGCTCCACAGTAAAACCCATTTATTATGGAGAATGTAACAGGAGGAGGAGGAATACGCAAAGGTGGGCAGGAACACCCAACGCTCCCAGGTGGACAGGTACAGAAGGGAATGATGATAGGGAGGTCTCACTGTTGGAGTATCCAGGACACATAAGAAGCCAGGGGCTGACTCAGGCTACTAGGCCCTACGTATCTCTAAGTATCCCTTTTGGGTGGATTGACCATTTCATATTTGGTGCAAACCATTCAGGATTATGTGAAAATGTTTGATGTATATATAACTAGATGGTGGCTCAGCTGGCACAGACTGCAGGACTATTATAAGATTTATAGTAGTCAGAGAGAGGGGAGAGGATGAACTGGTGATGGGCAGAGAGCAAGGAGCAGCCTCCGGAGATTTTACTCTTATGTATATTATATATTACTAGTGACAGCTATAATGCCTCAGTCCACATTTCCTGAACTTCTGAAAGATTCAAGATCTGTCATGTGATTTATCATAGGTTGTAGCTGCAAGGTATGTAATATAATATATATGAACTGAAAATATAGCACACAAGCCGTATACTTCCGCACTTATTAAAGAGAAATGATATTAATTCTTCTGAAAAGGTTGTTTATGCATTTTTACTCTTCATTAACACTATATGGAAAAAGCAAGATAGACATAAATTGTGTTGGGTTTTCTACACTCTGTGGAGGGTCTTTCTGCACACTGATGGGAAGGGTTTTCTACACACTGTAGTGTAGAGGGTCTTTTTGAAAACTGATGGGAAAGGTTTCTGCACAATGTGGAGGGTCATTCTGCACACTGATGGGTAAGGTTCCTGTACACTGGTGGGTCTTTCTGCACACAGATGGGAAAGGTTCTAACATGCTGTGGGGTGCCATTCTGCGCACTGATGGGAAGAGTTCCTGCATGCTGTGGGGGCTCATTTTGCACTCTGATGGGAAGGGTTCCTGCACATGATGGATGGTCATCTGCACTCTGATGGGAAGGGTTCATATACACTGTGGTGGGTCATTCTGCACTCTGATGGTAAGGGGTCCTGCACACTGTGGTTGGTCATTCTGCACACTAATGAGAAGGGTTCCTGCACACTGTGGTGGCTCACTAATGAGAAGGGTTTCTGCACACTGTGGTGGCTCACTAATGAGAAGGGTTCCTGCACACTGTGGTGGCTCACTAATGAGAAGGGTTCCTGCACACTCTGGTGGCTCACTAATGAGAAGGGTTCCTGCCCACTGTGGTGGCTCACTAATGAGAAGGGTTCCTGCACACTGTGTTGGCTCACTAATGAGAAGGGTTCCTGCACACTGTGGTGGCTCACTAATGAGAAGGGTTCCTGTGCGCTGTGATGGGTCATTCTGCACACTAATGAGAAGGGTTCCTGCACACTGTGGTGGCTCACTAATGAGAAGGGTTTCTGCACACTGTGGTGGCTCACTAATGAGAAGGGTTCCTGCACACTCTGGTGGCTCACTAATGAGAAGGGTTCCTGCCCACTGTGGTGGCTCACTAATGAGAAGGGTTCCTGCACACTGTGTTGGCTCACTAATGAGAAGGGTTCCTGCACACTGTGGTGGCTCACTAATAAGAAGGGTTCCTGCGCACTGTGGTGGGTCATTCTACACACTAATGAGAAGG